AAAAATTACGAAAAACCGAAGCTTACCGGTGGCGGTGCTCTCGGGTGCGGCGGCTCTCCGGTGAGGTTCGTGTTTTGGTGATTCGGCTCCGATCAACCTGTAGAGAAAAGAATGGTGATCACGGTGATATAAAAATTGCATCAAACGGAGGCCGGGAAGGGCCTCATCGGAGGCAAAAACCGAGGAGGGGCGCGGCGGCACCGCTGGGTTTCGACTGTGTTTTCTGGCCGTTTGGCCGGGATTTTGGCTCCGATTTGGCCACAGGGGAAATCAGCGTAGAAAAACGAGTCGGGGGTATGAAATTTACCTCGATCGGCGGTCGGAAATCTCTCCGGTGCGGCGGCGGGTGGCCGCGGCTGGCGTCTCCGGCGTCTGGTTCGTCTTCTCCGGCGATGGCAGGCGGCTAGGGTTTTTGTGGTCAGGTGTGGGGGTTCTATTTATACTCTTTTGCCTTTTGATCTCAGCCGTCCATTTTGATTTAATCTGAGCCGTCCGTTTTTGATTGAATCTGGACCGTCCGTGCGCACGCTTGATCTGGGCCGTCCGATCGCGCGTACGCGGATCGCCAACGTGGCCCGTCCCCGGTCAACGTGGTTTTGCCACGTGGCAGGTCCTGGTTGGCCAGGACTGCTGACTGGGTCTGCTGACGTGGCTGCTGACGTGGCATTTGTTTTTTTTTTAACCTATTTAAAATATTTAAAATAAAATAATCAAATTTTTTTTTATATATTTTCCGGGCGTTACACATACCCCGTCTAGTGATGAACGCCAAATATATCATCGTCTCGATACCCCATCTGGTATAAAGGTAAACCATATCTTCCAAACCTTCTAGTATGGGACTTCTTAGTCCCATTTGACTGAGATAATGTCTATAGTAAGGTTTCATATGTACCAGGTCCGTCCATCATTTTCTAAGATGCCCATTAATTTTCTACATATATAGATCTTCATCATCTCAACAGCCACCAATCACATACTAACGTCTTATTACGTATTTATAGATTAACCTAAAAGGCCTATAAACAAGCAATACAGTTTATAATAACCGGGTAACTAGATAATCAAATAAATAAATAAATAGTCTAGGGAAAATAAAATAAAGTAGATAATCAATGGCATAGTTCAAACTAGCAATTTAATATACATAATTTAATAGTAAATATTTTAAGCAATACAGGAGAAAATGAACAGTAAACTAGGGCAATCGTATATTGATAAGTTCCAATTACACTAATGACATGTAATTATTATTAGGATTTTCTAATATTTACAAAATATAAAATTATTAATTTTTTAAGCCTCAATTAATCGTACTAGAGAATAGGGAGAAAGATCATTATCCGGATCGGTGTTCGAAATGTCGTGCTATCTACTACGCCTCCTAACAATCCCCGAATTTTCTTAATTTTCCCCGCAAAAATTAAAATACCCGTCACGTAACCCAAAAATACCTCAAAAGGTCAAAATCAGTGTCGAAAACCCTTTCCGACCAATTTTAGGGTTCCGGCACGATGCCACAGTCATGCTCCAGTGTCGGCTCCACCGCCCACAACCGTAGTTCGCCTCGACCTAAACAGTTTTGGCCAGTTTTACACGTATCCTTGTGAAGAAACACGTTAGGTAACTTCATTGGCAAAAAAAAAGTAAAATAAAATTTCGAACCTACCAGCGAGAGGGGTCTCTGGGTGCAGTGGCTCTGCCAGTTCTCCTTCGAGGCTGGGGTTTATCCTTCTCTTAACCTGCACAGAAATGATCGGTGAACACAATGGTCAAAAAATCGTATGAACAGAAAACAGGAAGGGGCTTATTGGAGGAGTTTTAGGATTTTGGCTATGGCAGCTTTGCCGGGCTTTATCTGCGGTTTTCAACTCACCCCCCATCATTTTTGCTCCAATATGGCCGCAAAGAGACTCAGATTCGTATTCCGAGCAGAAATGAGAAAATTTTACTTTTTTTTGGCAGTCGGCGGTGGCTATAGTACAGCAGCGACCGGGGTTTGTTCTGCTTCTCTGGCGCCAGATTCTTCTTCTCCAATATCGGGTTCTTATTCTCCGACGGGGGGCTGCGGCTAGGATTTGGTTCTCTACGAAGAAGAGTTTAAATACCCTCTCATCTTCGATCCGAGTCGTCTGTTTGCATCGACGTGGGGCGAAGAGGACTATTCGATGGTTTCCTGTTTAGGTTGATAGCGTGGGCAAATCGAAGTCGTCCATCACGATCTATCTCATCTGTCCGATCGTGTGTAAAGAGGGAATGCATTTGGACCGTTCTCGCGTGCGGGATGAGATCTTGGCAGTCGGATCGTTAGCGTGGCTCTCGCGTGGTGTCGATATCAGTATAGTTGCCATATAGTGTGCTCTGGTTCGTCAAGGGTGCTGACTGGGTTGTCCCAAGTGACCAAACTTTTTTTTTTTTTGCGTTTTAACTCTCTATTTCTAATATTTTTTTAAAAAACACATTCCGAATTCAAATTTTCACTCATTTTTTCTAAAATTATTTTTAATTTCGTTCATAATTTATTTTTCTAAAAAAAAAACTAAAATTAAAATAAATAAAATTACTTATTAAAATATTTTTTTAAATAAAAAAAATCATCCCCGTACTAATTTTCGAATTCAATATTACAATTGACCAAAAAAGTTCAGAATTAAATTGGGCAATTGTCAAATAGTTAGCCAACTTTCGTACCTTAATTAAAACAATGACACGGTTTAGGCCAATTAATTTGGTATTAGTCAATTGAATGCCATCCTATGATCTTATATTTCTATTAAATTTTATGGATTATGAATTATAGCTTCTTTAACTTAATTAGTCACTAAATTGTTACTAAAAAAATTAATATAAAATTTTTTTATAATTAATTTATAATATTTTATTTATTATAATTTAGTCATTAATATTTTTTATTTATTTATAATAATAATTTTATTTTTCTATTTTATAATAAAAATGTTAAAACAGTTATATTACATTTACTAAAATACTGTTTCGTTAAATACTATTTAAAATTCTGATGTGTTTATAACAATATGGGTAAATAACTATAATACTTATTGTTATTAAATTCCTTTGGATACATTTATATATTTAAACATTTGTTTGTAAAATTTATAAGTCTAGTTTTGGTTTTGATTTTAGTGATTGAAAGATAAAATATTTGAATTAATTTTTCGTGATTTAAAAATTAATTTTTTAAAATATTTAATATTTATGTTTATGTAAAAATATCTGCACATTTATTATTATATATATATTTTTTTTGAGTATTCAGAAATTGAACCCGGGCTTAACAACAGGGTAATTTTAGTAGGGTTCGGCTTGACTCAAACCCAGCCCATCCCAGCCCAGCCCATGGGCATTTGCTAGTGCACATTTTACGGTTAGTTTGGAAAATATAATATCATTAATTACATAATTAAAAAATAATGTGATTATAATTATCTCACATATTTAATTACATTTCTATTGTAATAAAAATTTAATCAATTTTTAGTTACAAATTTTTTAATATCAAATTGGTAATTAATTTTTTTATGGAAGCACTGAAAAAATAGAAAAAGAATATATAGGGAAAAAATAAATAAATAACGATTACAAAATTGGCAAAATTGCGAAAAATTGACTGAATTGAAATTCAACCAATTTCTTTAAAAGGAAAGCTCAGATTTTCACAGCTTCACAGGTGATTACGGAAGCCCAAGTCCAAAAACCCAATCTCTTGCCCATCTATGCCGTGCCTGCAATTCGAGCTCGCTGGTACCATTTCGTCTTCAATCGTCTTGTCCCTGCAAACCGGACAGTTCATAGACCGTAGCCTCAGCCATTGTTCAATGCAATCTTTGTGGAACATGTGTTTGCACCTTGGTAAACCCTATCGCTCACATGCTCGTACTCCTCCAAGCAAATCGCACAGTTTTCATTCTCAAACGCCGATAAATTAGACGATGACGATGTAATACCGTAATCGGAGTTGGCTGGTAATTTCCCGTGAATGAAAACCGGAAACGCCGCGATCAGCTCGTCGCGGCGGCTCAGTGAATTCGACCACGTGGATGGTGGGTTTTCGGCGGGGGAGGAATCAAAGAAGAATTTCATAAGTAGGATAATGCTAGCAATGAGGACGAAAGCGAAGGCGATTGTGATTATGAAAGGTATATTGACTAGCATTTGTTGGGAGCGATTAGACAGAAGAGCATTCTCGTCTTCTGGTGGTGGCTCCATTTTCGTCTTCTGAAAAAGTGATTTAGAGACTCATATGACGACGACGAAGACAAGTTCCTTTTAAAGGGTGTTTCTTTTTTTTTTTTTTAATTTTTTGTGCGGGGTGGTGAAGTGATTAAAGGAAATATATGCTACGACTCGGGAGTACAGAAGTTGGTCTGACGATTAATCCTGAACGTCTGATAATGTAATGGAAAAATGGACGGTGAGATATGGGGGGTTTTAGGTTTGTTTGACAAAGTTATTTATAAGGCATGATATTTGTCTTTGTGGTAACAACCATAGTAGATTTGTTTCAGAACGCGGCGATTAGGATGCGTGACAGCTTTCAGGTTGTTTGTAATTTGAGTAAAAAGGTAATTATTATTTTTTTAATTTATTGTAATTAATTCCATCACCATTAAAACCATTAGATCCTATTCATTATATTAACAAATATTATTATATATTTTTTGAATAAAATAACTTGTTTTCTTAATTAAAAAAAAAAAAATTAAGGAAAGACTTTTTAAGGTAATTTTTAAGTAAACGATAAACAAGGCTTTAATTTACTACCACGTAATTTAAATATTAAGGTAACAAAATTAATTATTCTAAACTTAATCTATTTATAACATTTAAAGTTAATTTTTTTATGTACAAAGTTTATAATTTTATAATTGAGAAAATATAAATTTAAGTAAATTTTACTGCACTTACAAAGAAATCTTATTAGTTATTACCACACCATGTTAAATGATTTATGCAGAAAATTACTGAATCACTAGAAAATATTAGACAATCACTACGAATCACTACGAAACATTAGACAATTACTTAAAACATGATATTTCCAAGACACCAAAATAGCACCTTCGCACACAAAGTATTGGAGGCAATGGTTGAAAAAAATAAACACAACATTTCAAAATAAAATCGATCAACATTTCTCTCGGATTGTTGAAGAAGCCCATTTGAAATATCCGCAGTTAGCTTCGGGATTAGATGCAGGTCCCTACATATAAAATGAGGGAAAAGAAGATATCCAGTTAGCCAACAGCACCAGCATCTTCTCAAACGCTCTCTTAACACGAAAAATAGTCGTTTTGGTGCTAGAATGATGGCATATGAAGTTCTTATTCCTAATGAAATCAACATTGCTGCCGTATAATGATGGCGTTAAACGGTTATGCAAGAATGTTTAATCGAGTGCAAATGCAAATGATACCTCAGCTCGAGCACAGACATAAAATCTGCGACCAAATGTAGGGCCCGGTTTCTTCACTACCCGAGCAACGCAAGGTTCCTTATGGCCCTTGCAGAGGGGAATACTATTTTGCATAACTTGTTGTATTCTTTGCCACTCTTGTAAAGCAACATTGTTTTTCTCCTTCAAAGAACCGCCATCTGGTTCGTCTTGGTACCGTGTAGAGAGAGTTGACTTAAACTCAGATGGACTTGAGTTGCTGTTGTCATCATCCGCGACAGGTGTTTTGATGAATTGATGATCGGCCATAGAGTTGTCTGCTTGATCAGTAGAAACATCAGCAGACTTATCAACACTATTGCTAGAATTTGGACATTTCTGGAAGAAAGATCTCAGAGAGAGCTGGGACCCTTGACTTTTTCTTGATTTTTTCTTGGTTATATCTCTCGATATAGGATTGACATTCTCACTTCTCGCTGTTAGTGAGATTTTACAAGCAGTCTCAGTAGTGTAACCTCCAGATTTTCCATCTATTTCTGAAGTGGCACCTTCACAGTCTCGTTCCAAGTGACAGCATTCATCTTGAGCTATGCTAGACACAGAGCACGCATCATCTAATGATCTTTTCACACTCTCGCTACAACTCCTTACCGTTATATTTTCATCTGTAGACAAACTTGATACCTCGAAAGACTTGACTTGCTTTGCAACTTGTCTTTTCATCAAAACCGATACTGCAAAAAGCTAAAGACAGTAAATTAGCAGTGGAAGCTAACAAACTAAGAAAGGCTTAGGCAAGAAATGCAAGATGCATAGTCCCCGAATATGAGACATAAAAAGCATGCGGCGCTTGTTCGAGACTGTGAATCATGGGCAGATATCTGAAAGAACAAAGGTCTCTCATACCAAGTGTTTGTTGGAGACCATGAATCATGGGGAGGTATCTGGAAGCTAAAGTTGGAGTGCTATGTTCTGGAACATCAGGGATTCCCGACAAACTAGCATATACAGGAACATGGTCTGATCCTTCCAATTTAGAATTCCATCCTCCTTTCCACCTGTTAAAAATAGGTTCTTGCTTTTACAGGTAAATCTACGCAGTTAGAGTAGAATTTTAGAGAGAACTGAAACAACAAGGTGGCCAACAGGCATGTGCCAGATGCATTGCATAGTACAGTGCTCAACTAAAAGAAAACTCAGAAGAATCATAACCACCCAAACCATATAACTTGGTCACATGGAAAACTACTCCTAAAATGGATTAGAACATATTTGCTTCTGGAAGATTTTCAAGTTTAAAAGTTCCAAGGTCACCCCCTCCCTATGTCCCTCTCTTGTTGGCCCCTGGACAATCATAAAATGGATAGGCACACATAAATGTGGAAAAAAAGGTCCATCATGCCTCCATTCACAATAATTGCCTGTGGAACTTCCGTAAACACATAGTGAGAAACATATCATCTAGCGCAAAGTGATAAAAAATAACAGCATAAGGCAAAAATTTCCTGATTGAATAATCAAATGATGACACCAGTGTAATTTCATGTCAAGATGACATCTATATACATGTATATAACCAAACCAAATTTTTACCTATGTGCATTTCCAGGTTTCAGCCGTTTATACTCTGTCAATATGTCACATTCATTAACATGGCAAGTAATGAAATTATGGTCCTTCTGATCATTCTCTTGATGTAAACATAATCCTGCAAAGAGAATATGATCAATTCTTGTCCCGTAATTAAATTGTTCAGCTCCAGTATTCGACGGCCAGCACGTGTATGCTTCTCTTCTGTTGAAAGAAAAATAATATTGTCAGTATGCAAAAGGTCAAACACTCATTTCAAAGTTTGAAAATAAGGAAGTATTTCACATGCATCAACCACTTCTTCCCTGGCCAAAGAAACTTAAAACCATATCCAAAGTCGAACCACTAAAAGAGTCATCTTTTGATTGGAAATAACTGAAAGCCAGAACTTCTAGGAAACTCACAGTAGCATTGAGGAAAGCGCGAGAGAGAGAAATAAGGTCAAGCAATCCAAACGTGCTTTATATAAGAGCTTCAAACAAATTAGAAGTACAATATTGAAAAGAATGGGAAGATCAGAATGCTGGATATTCATCAGTTAAAAATGAAAGCCAAAGTTCACAGTACATTGTACACAGAAGAACTTCATAGGAAAAATATGGTATAAACCTGTCAGGATGTTTTGCTCTAAAAACATCAAAGAAAGAGCCTCCATGGTCCAGTAGAATAGATCTAAACCACTGCCTGAACCTATAAGAGAAGTTGCATAATAAACTAACTATTGCCATTGACCTATAAAAAAGTAAATAAAATTAAAGACAAAAGTAAGACTGGTCTGAACAAAAAACAGTAACTCACTCGTTCTTCTCAAAATCTCGTTCAGCATCACACCGATCTATGGCAGCAGGAGCAATGTTGAGGTCACCAACAACAAATATTCTCTTTCCTCTATCCAGAAGATACTCCCATCTTTTCTACAGCAAAAGTTCAAATGTCCATCAACTGAATTAAACAATTTATGCCCACCATGGCAACCGTGTAGGGCCTCATCTATGTGGTTAAATTTCGACTTGGACCCCTAAGCAACAGATATGATGCATGCAAGACCAAAGTCCCAAATCAACATTCATACTTTCTACTTGCTAATTTAGGATATATTGGAACAAATCTAGAATTGTTGTCGAACTCATTTATAAGGTTAACTTAGTTTATCTAAAATATCATGAAATCCTTCTTTAAAATGAAGAAAGAGAAAAAAGATATCATGTGAAATGCTATATGCAATTGGATTAATGCACAACAAATTCGATCAAAACTTATATAATGTATAACATATTATTCAAATTCTACATAATACTTTATATGAAATAAAGAGATAAATGTGAATTTGCAAATAAATTTCATAAAAAAATTTCTGAATTTGTTCCAGACATAACCTTAATAAAAATGGATATAATTACTATAACTCAAAAAGGAAAGTATACCATGCACCACAAGTCCACATTATATCCTGCAAACACCCACACATTAATTTCCAGTTCGCATAAGCAAAAACACAAATGAGCTTACCTGCAAAATCTCGAAGAACTTAAGCTTAAACCGGATCCTGTCAGCATCATCAGATTGAGCTCGCGGTCCGTATACATTGAAAACAACTGAAAAATACCCAATGCCCAACCCATTATAAACATAGAAAACAAGACCTTATCCAACTCACATGAAATCAGCATGAACCAACCATGAAAACGAGAAGCTAAGATCACAAACAAAAAACAAAGCAAAATTTCTGAATTACGACTCACCAAAATGACCATGATCGGTGATAACACACCGTCCCTCGTTGTCAACCTTGAGAAGCTCGTCTTTGGAAAACTCCTCCAGTCCTTTCGCTATACCCGGCACTTCATCTTTTCCAGCCCTCGAGTTCTCGAGAAGACCAGTGAACCCCTCCTCCGCCGCAATCGGCAGTGCCACTTCGTGGCTTGAAAACGCCGACTTCACGCGGCAAAACGTAGCCACACCTGCAGATAATAAGAAACGTGAAGTATGGGTAGCTGGCTTTTCATTTTTTCAGTGTCAACTTCTTTGAGGCAATAAACCAAACAGCTTACCTGAATAGCCCGTACGTCCTTCTCACAAGTGCGAGTGCATGAAAAGAACGATTCGTACCCATCAGCCATGGCCAAATCAGCTGTTAATTCCTGTCTTCTCAACTTCGTCTCATAATTTTTGCCTCGAAATAATTTATTCAAAATCAGATATACATATATATATATATACATGTACATAGTTGAGGGAAACAAACAGAGTAAATACATATAAAGATATACAGGGAAAGAGTGCGGGGAGTGGAAATTCGAAGAGATTGAAGGACCTGAAAGCAAATAATGTCGGCATCGAATGATTCGAGGAGTTTGGAAAGAGAACCAAACTGTGAGATTCGTTGTCTAAGTCCATTAACGTTGTAAGTTACTATCTTCATTGGTTCTCCGTTCTGACTCTCTGGTTTTCCTTCTTCTCTTTAAAAAGATAATAAAGAAAGGTAATTCCTCTCTGTGTCAAATCTATATGACACCGGAGTGGAAACTGTCACGATAGACACTCAGAAGGGGTTCTCTTCAGCCTCAAAACGTTGCCGTTTTATGAACACACTATTAGAAAAAGGAAATTTAATGTTTTCCCAGAAAACCGAGTAAAAGTTCACGTACCGAAAACCTGGTCAAAGATAATGATCAATCCTAGACTACAAGAGCACATCAACGGCTAAGAAAGCTGGGTCCCAATGGACCAGGAAGCACTGGAATATTACTCTACTCGGAAAGTGACTTTCAATAAATCTAATACAGCAGGTGGTGCGTGCACACGCCGGTGGCTCGTGGAGAGCACAAGTTATTCCAGCTGCTCTTGTCGTCTTCTTATCCGGCCATTTGTTTTCTTTAATGCTCTCTGCTCCGGCTCCTTCGTTTGCCATTTTCTCTTTCTCTTCATCCATCATCTGGAGAAGAGTATTACAGTTGTGGTCGTGGCGGTGTTTTCTCTCGCTTTGTTCGGTTGAATTACTATTGGCCTTGTCAAGTTTTTTGGTTTCTGAGAAACAGGGCAGCATGGATCAATGGAACGCGAGGGATTTCTCTGAATCTGTGGTAGCAGAATTTGGGCCTTCGACTTCTATGCCTTCCTCGAATCATGCTCAGAACCAGAATTCCATGCCTGAACGCAGGTTTCTACTCGCTTTTTAACCTAATCTTTTTGGCTGACTTCGTTGATTTTATTCTATTTTTAGTCTAGTTTGAATGGATACAGTTCTAGATTTATCCACGAGCAACTATTGCTCGGTGCTTTTTCTTTGCATTTCTGACTACTTTGTTGAATACCTAGTTTTTATTTTCTTTAATTGGTTCTGAAGTAGCATTTGTTTCATGAAGGCAGTTCTTTTATTTCTTCAGAATAAAGGAGAAGTAGATTGTTAAATCGATTTGATGGTTGCGCATATTCATTTCTGCAGAATCAGTACACTGTAGAAAAAAATAATTCATAATAAAGTTGAAAAAATGCGTTTCTACTGTTACTTTGCTACCTTACAAATGATAATCTAGACTGTCTTGTCACTACTAAATTTAAATTTCAGCAATAAGGTTATATTATGTTCGGTTCAGGTTAGATATTAAACGATAAAGTTGAATTTTTTTATGAATTAATTTTGGAGAGTCTGTATATTTAGTAGGCGAAGGCCTGAGGTGGAAGTGAAGGTAGAAGTGAAGGATCCGATTACTGCAAGAAAAGTTCAAAAGGCAGACCGCGAAAAATTGAGAAGAGATCAACTTAACGAACAATTTCTTGAGTTGGCTAACACACTAGGTACTACTATTCCCTTCTTTTGGTCAAAATCTTGTTCTGTCTATCAAATTTCTTGACATGCTAAGAACAGCGAGCCTACTGCTTTTGTAACTCAGTTTGTTTAATAATCTCTAGGTGGTAATTGAAATTCTGCAAAAAGACTGGGTTTTTAAACGTCTAAGAATGTTAAAGCGATTTCATTAGGGGAGTAGAACTGGCAGCAAGGTCACTTTTGGGAATGAAGAATAAGATGAACTCTCTGAATGTTATTCTGCTTTGGTCACTTGTGTAGATCTTCATTGGCTTACATTAGTGATGTATTCTTTCCCCAATCTTGATCAAGTGCTGTAGGATGGGTTTGTTTTTTCCCTTTTCCATGGATGAGTTAGAGAAATGTTCTAGTTTTTCTTGTTCAAAGAGTGGACTTCTTATATTTTTGGGATCATGTTGCATGCATAACATTCGAGAATTCAATATCATGATTAAACCCTGCCTTATATCAAAAGGTCCATGCATTTCATGATGTAGTTTGGTGAGTCATATGGTAGCATAATAAAATTGTATCCTGTGATTGTTAATCTGTTCTTCGAATGTGAACGAAATGCTTGTTCTTGAATAATTATTGTAGTTTGGAATACAGATCCAGATAGACCTAAGAATGACAAAGCTACTATTCTTACTGACACAATCCAAATGCTGAAGGATCTAACTTCTGAAGTTAACAGACTAAAGGTTGAATATGATGCACTTTCTGAAGAATCACGAGAGGTGCGTGCTCTTCATACTTCAACTGAAGATTGTCATTTCTATATGATTGCTTGTATTTTTATCCTTCTTTTTCATTAATCAATCAGCTTATGCAAGAGAAGAATGAGATCAGGGAAGAGAAAGCATCTTTGAAATCTGAGGTTGAAAATCTAAATGTTCGATATCAGCACAGTCTCAGAATTATGTTTCCTTGGGCTCCTGTTGATCCTTCTGTTGCAATGGCGCCAGCTTATTCATATCCAATTCCTGTAGCAGTCCCTCCGGCCCCAATTTCAATGCATGCATCCTTGCAGCCATTTCCCTTTTTTGGGAATCAGAATTGCGGTGCCTTTCCTAATGCGTGTTCAACTTTCTTTCCCTATTCGGCCAATCCACCAATTGATCAGCCATCAGCACAGTATGCATCCTCTTCCAATATTTCAAGCAAACAAGACAGTAGAAGTAAAACACTGGATCATCCAAGAAGCAGCAATTCAGGACAAACTGATGACAACAATCCCAATAATGTGGCAACTGAGCTTGAACTTAAGATGCCTGGATCATCAACACAACAGGTCAGATCCAGAATCTTAGACTCAATCCATTCAAGAAATGCTGGTGACACTGAACACTTGTAACTCAGTGTCTATCTTTATGCAGGACGTTTCTGCTGAAGGAAGGGGGGGCAAGCAGGCTCACAAGAAAGAAAAAAGCAGCAGAAACGGAAGCTCGTCAAGCTGGTATTCGTCATCTAAAGGTGTTCAAGCTAACTCCTCTAACAGCACGGGTGACATCTCAAAGTCTAATGAGTGAAAAAGTCATCTTTCCGTAAATTATTCACTTGTATTTCTTACCCATTAGTATGTTTTTATTCAATCTTGTAACCAGGAGGACCAGAAAATAGTTTCACACCCTCCATTGTTCCATCAAATGATTTACCTGACAAAATTTGGAGGTTTGCTGCAACTTACTGACTCACTGATTTTCAGTCATCTTAGAAATAGAATTGTTGCCATTTAGGGCAGTCTTGGATAGATAAATCTGTTTCTGTATTCTGTAGAACACACTTTCCATGTGTTTATTTCGATAAAGAAAAAAGTGGGCAACATAGGAAGTTTTCTTAAATGTGCATTGCAGAATGTTCCGTCGAGTGATTCTATTGTTCAAAAGGGGAGCTGACAATTGTATTGGTTACATTTGCATTTAGAAGCACAAAATATTGTTGCATCTGAGTTTGAAATATATATATATATATATTTTTTATGCTAGAAGTACATACTTCCTTCTATAAAGAATTATGAGTTTGAGTATTTTTATAATTAATAAATAAAATATTGTATTATGATAAATGTATTACGTGGGTATGCATGTATCATTAAATTATTAATGTATTTGTAATTTTAATTTAAAAATTATTACAATAGATACATTAATATATATTATCTGTTTGCGAGTTTGCATGAACGGGGATTCCATTAAAAATCTTTTTCTTTAAATTTCACCGCCCGATGGCAACCAACCTGATTCTTCCAGACATTTATGGTATGATGTATGGCTGCTGAAAGTCATTTGGTTTTCTATTTATAAACATGATTTTATATTCTTTTTTCTCTCTTTAATCTTCCCCCATTATCCTTATTGAGTATGATTAAAATAATAAATGATGCTAATTCAAATAGAATTAGTCTGATATACCGTATTTTCATTGATAGTTTATTTATGGTCACATTACAAGTTGTAGGGCAAATACAGTAGCTCTTCACTACTTGCAAAGGATATTTTACAAACAAAGACCATCATCATACCTGGATTTCACTCTAAAAAGACACAAACCCCTAATTTCTGCCAAGTGCATTTAGAATCCCATTAATTTAAAAAATCTGAGTTTCTAATTGAGGTCCTAGGCAATGGTTTGTCATGGAGAGAAGGGTCTATTTTGGTAACCAAACGTACACTTCCAATGCAAATAGAACCAGGAAAAGAAAAAAGTGCACCTCTTACCCCTCCTTTTCTCTTAATCTTTGTAAATCTCACTTGCTGATGATCTTATATTTTTCTTGGAATCCGTTGACCGGTTGGGCTAGGAATGTTTCGCGAACCGATGCTTGCAGTTCTTAAAAGTCTCCTGAATTCTGAAAGGCTTATTTTCCCGTCTTTGTCGATGTCAGCCTCTTCAAGGAGTGGATCAATGGAGCCTTTCAAGCCCGTGTGCTATAATACAACAAAGCAATTTCAATAGAAGCAAGATTTATGTAGGGAAATTTAAGATAATTTGGCTTGATCTTTCTCTGCTGTCATTAGATGGAAAACAGAAGGATTCGTGTGTTCTCGTAGAAATTAAAACTTACCAGTCTAAGTTCCTCCGGTGTTATATACCCATCTCTATCTATGTCAAATTTCTCAAAAGCAGCACGTGAACGATGTTGCCACTTCTCTGAGTCATGTTCCTCCAGTTGATGAACATGCAGGGCAGCAGCAACAAATTCGGTGAAATCCACAAGCCCATCTGTATTGCAGTCAATCTGCATCAAGAAAAACATGAGTAGGATGACACAAATATCTTGTAACGCTGACAGTGAATCTATGGAAATGAGAACTAAAAGAAAGATCCAAGAGAATGTAACTCTTGGTAAAATTCACCCAGGGTGGAAAATATCATTTTTATAGCAGTAAACTTAAGGATTCCATAAAGATGAGTTGATAAGTTCACATTCTTTATCAGCCATCTGAGACATCCAGGGGTATAGTGGAAAATATTCATACCGCTTGAAGAATCTCCAAAACACGCGAATCCTTCAATTTCCAAGGAAGATCTTTGGCAAGGGCCTGCAACAAAACCAGCCTTCCCAGTAATACAGAAAGATCTATTTCAATAGGAAACTTGCTTAGACATGAGGATCACATGCTAGTAAGAGTATGAAGAGAATAGTCACCTGTCTCATCTCTTCGAGACTAATAGAACCATTTTTATCAACATCAATTGCAGCAAACTGATCACGGAGGTCAGCCAACTCTTCATCATCAAGTGTGCTAGCCAGTGCCTGCAACAGACTAAATAAATTAAAAAGCAACAAGCGATGATTCTGCTCCACATGAATCCAGCAAATAGAATATTTCTTTTACCCTTAAAGCAAACTGTTTCAAACGGCTGTACTTCACAAATTGACGCATGTTGTTTAGAACAGAAATATCAATAGGGATCTCAGATGCCTCTCCTCCTTCTCTGACCCAGGGATGTGCTGGAAAATTCATTAGCAATCAGAAGAAACTTCAATTACATGAGAAAGAGTTGGAATGAAATCTCCAATAATAATGATCTTTTTTTAACCCATTGTGAGCTTCCAATAAACTTTGATTCCCAATGAATTAAACACATACATAGGGCCTGAGCAGCAGTTAGTCTGGCTCGAGGGTCTTTCACTAATAACTTCTTTACAAAATCTTTGGCAGCATTGCTTATTGTTGGCCATGGTTTACGGCGAAAATCAGGCTTGTTCCTTAAAACCTGCAGATGCCAAGCAGTTGAATGCCACACAGCAACAAAGATTATTAGAATTTGATGATTAAGTTTTCTAGTATGACGAAGAAAGGGTTGCCTCGAAATTTTTGGATGAAGTAGACCTCTTTAAAAATGCCATCCTCAGTCTTATCCCAGAAAGGACGCCTCCCACAAAGCAAAATGTAGGTAATGACACCAATACTCCAAACATCTGATTCAGGTCCTGACCTACGTTTCAATACCTCCGGAGCAACATAGTAAGCACTGCCTACAATGTCTTGAAACCTCTTCCCTGCATTACATTGAGAATATAAGTCAGACATTTAGTAGAAAAGTATTTGGGCATTTTTTGAATGGTAAAAGTTTAATTACGGTTCATAAAAAATAGAGCTTCCAAAAAGCATTATAACGAAGATGGAGAATAAC